GGTGGGGAAAAAATCAAGAGAAAAATAATATTTGGTGACACATAAAGATTACATGAAATCTAAATTTCATCATCCATAAATAAAAGGTTCATTCGAACATGGCCATGCTCACTCATTTACTTATACATGGCTACTCTCGTACCACAATGGAGAGAATTGAGTTGTTATTAACAGGGACAATATGGCCCAGAAAGCCTGAAGCATCTGTCCCTTTACAGGAAAAGTTGGTTGATCCTGGTCTAAATGCAGTGTCAGTGAACACAGACAAACCCTGCTGATTTTCCTGTGTCCTTTGTGCTGCCCCCATGACATCTTTACCTTCTGCAACCAGTGTGTCTCATCAGTGGTCTCCAGCATACTTTCCTGTTGAGCCCAGAGGTTGTATCACCACACTTCAGTGGTAATCATCAATCAATCTAATTGACGAGAATAGAAAACCAAATCTATTCACACTTGGGTAGAGCCAACATCAGATGTAAACAGAACATGATGGGTCACTTAGCTGTGGTCTTTGTTGTTCCTAGCCAGTGTACGTCCTTCGGGGCTGGTCATTCCAGTACAATAAGGTCCCAACAGGAATGACATTGGAAGCTGTGTATTTACCACTCTAATTGTCACACGAAGTTTGGCAAAGGCTTTCTAGAGTGTTGTGTTTTTGAACAAAGTCTTGGAAATTGACTGCATGATCTTACTTACTTCTTTCTCTTTTCCTCAGCCTTTTTCACTGGACCTGGCCTTTTAGGTAAGGTTTTTTCTGGGTCTTAAAAGGGAGGTCTTTAAGCTCTGGAGAGGGGATTTTGAAAATTCCAAGCCAGGGAGGCTCTGGTTCGAAACATACCCAGTAGAATTCTTTCTGGTTTCTCAGCCCCACTTAACCTTTCTTACATGAGTATATTTCCACTTCCAAAACCTAGAAAGAGTTATCTTGCAAAGAGATCCCTCATCACTTGCCCTCTGTGGCCCATGACTCTCAGCCACTTCTAAGTAGTAGATGGCTTGGTTTTGGCTCAGAAGTTACCTTATCCTCTTGTGTGCATATCTAGGAAATAAACTTCCTTTTGCCCTCATGAGTTCTACCACTTACAGGTGCCTCTGCCAGCTTTAATAGTATATTTGTACTAGAAATGCATCACCTTCTATGCAGCACATGGCTTCGCATGGCTTCTATGCAGCAGAGTGCAGACTGGGTTTCTGACGCCACTGGCCGCCTCCACGAGGAGTCTTTGGGCACTGCGCAAAGTATTCAGAGAGGTGAGAGTGGGACTGCACAGAGAGAATTAGCTTATGGGAGAAGAAGGCTCTGATGGTCCAGACAAGGAGGTTGGCTGTTGATTATCAGTTTCTTTTACATTATCCTTTCAGTCTATTCTTTCTCTTGATGGTAAAGTCTTTCTCTTGATGGTAAAGTCTTTACCAGGAATGGACCACTATAAACTCTGCTATGAATGTGGAGGATCCTACATCCCGCTGGGTGCCTTTGAAACCTTAAGGAGTGCTGCTTCTGGGCGTCATCCAACACTCAGATTACTTGGTCTTTTTTATTCTCTGGACTCCAGGGCTGCCCCTCACCGCAAGTGCAGGGATACTGCCACTCTCTGGAGCCTCCCGACATCCCAGGATGTTGCTCCTCCACCCCTGGGTCCCTCTCTCAAGCCCTCAGCTAATAAAGTACCCTGCCTAGGACACAGCCTAGGGCATGGCTGCCCTGACAAGCCCCTGTGTTCTCTCTGACTTTCAAATGTTTTCTCAACCTTTCTTTCCTCTCAAGCTGGATTTTTCAAATACTTATTCTTTTTTGTCTTTTTCTTTTTCTTCCTCTTCTTTTTCTTCTTTTAATGTATTTCTTCTTTCCTTGGAGGTGTTCCAGTCCTCCACTTCATGGAACATGAAAATTTATTTAAAACCAGAAATCTATAACTCAAAATCAAACAACCTGTGCATGAACCTGATGGCTACTATTTGCCTGAGTACACCGTAATGTCTATCCACACTCTAATTAATCTTAGATATAATGCCCCAAAAGTTATTCCTAGATGGCTCTACTTGAATTATATTTGTACACAGATATATATGCCTTAAGCTTTGATGTGCATAAACTGAAATTTTTTCTTAGTTTTTTAATACTTTCAATTTCTAGCTCTAACCTCCATTCCTCATACTGCTTCCCCCAAGATATTATGGAAGACAAGGAGAGAAATAAAAGCAAATGAACAAACCAAATATAAATTTCCTAATACAGTTTAAAATAAGCCAGGTCAGACTTTTCTCACTCAACTGCTTCCTCTGGGGTTGATACCAAGTTCTAAGAGGATTTGCGCAGGGTTGAGACAAGGTAGACAGGAGAAAAACTGATCCTCTGAAGTCAGATTCCGTTCATACACATGTCTGTCTTATCCCATGTGGCCCATGTTGCCATATGTTTCACTGATTATATTCCTATAAACCACAGGCCACCAGTCCAAAGGTGGCCCCTCTGGGTATAAAAGACCTCTGTCAGTCAACTGCCCTCCTCCAAGGAGGCATGGCAGATGTAGTTCTTTATCCCTGTGTCACTCTGGGGCTGAGGAAACTTGGTGGGATTATCTCAAGCTATGAAATGTAATCTCCATGAGGGCAGCAATGCTGACTACCCTATTCATCACTATTCTCTGAATCCATAAAACAACTCCGCTATTGTAGTACTCAAAAATTTCTTTCCTGATGGGCTCTTCCTTGGTGTCCTCACACATCCATCTCTACTCAGTGTCTAAGTCTTGATAGAAAGGAAATAATTTTTGTTAGTCTTTTCTACCTCCATAGCTGTAGTCAAAAAGCAGAAACAAGTCCTGGATTCCTCAGAGCGTATCTGAAGGCTCTGTGAAGTCTCTCTCTTACTACCAATGCCTAGAATGCTCTAGACTCTGTTTTGGGGCTCTGAGACTCTGAGGCCTGACTCTTCCCTTGCCCAGTGCTCTCTGTACTTCTTCTGACCTGGGTTCTTGGACATGGGAAAATGTCATAGGAAATAACAAGGATGGGTAGGGATGGATTATTGACACTGAGAGAGACAGAGTCAGCTTGTTCAGCCCGAAATACATGCAGGCAACTTGCCTCAATCTAGCTGCTGTGGAGAGGAGGTAGAGTCATGAGGAAGAAAACACAACAGATATCATCTCTATACTCAGGTTCTGACCTGGGGCTTCCAGTATTTGACAGAATGACCATATGATCTTCAATTTCATGAGGATCACTTTCTTCATCAGTGCAATTGTGGGGCAGACTTGATGATCTCTGGGGTCTTTCTTATCCTGACCGCCAGAGATTCTAAAAACTCAGCTGATTGTTCAACCATCCTTCTCTTAATGTTCAAACTCAAAAGCCAGCAGCTATATCTCGGTGTCTTGAAGTGGTAACATGCTATATGGAAGGTAAGAGAAGCAGAACTCAGAGATGGGTTCCTGAAGCTCCTCTTCTTCCTCTTCCCTTTGACCTCTTCTCTCTCATTCCTCAGTTTTCCATACCCTGCAAGTGTTGAAAGAGGTCTAAGAAGACAGTATACTGAGTACTCTCCGGGCTCCTCCCAGATCTCCAGCCAATATCTCATATCTTTGCAGAATCTTCATCCCAAGTGCGACTGGTGGGAGGTGCACATCGCTGTGAAGGGCGAGTGGAAGTGCAACGGAATGGCGAATGGGGCACCGTATGTGATGACGGCTGGGACATGAACGACGTGGCTGTGGTGTGTCGGGAACTGGGCTGT